ACATAATACTACATTTTTCTTTTTTTTTTCTTTTTTTTTTTAATAAACATGTCACTTTCTTTACAAACCTGATTTTCTTTTCTAGCCTGTAAGTAATTTGTGTCTGATTTTTTGGGATGAGGAGTTATCATTATTTACATTATTTATATTTGAGTGGTTGTTCTCATTTTTGTTGTTATCACTACATTTCAACTGTTATGCCCTCCAGCCTTCAACACGTGTATATTAATCTGGGTAACCTATGAATAATTCTGAATTGAACCCCATAGATTAAGTGTTCAGTTCAGAATTCCCACAATCAATATACACCAATAAGTAATACATTTTGTTTATATTCCTATAATGCCACATTTTATTTATATATATATATATATATATATATATATATATATATATATATATATATATATATGTATGTATGTATGTATGTATAAACTTAGAAAATTCTCAAGACTGCTGCTGTCAAACATTACCAAAATATAAATTTACACCCTCGATTTTTTCAAATATCTCCATTCCTGAAAGAATTACTCCTTTCCCAAGCCGACATACATGGCTATGTAAATGTTAAAAAATAAAAAAAAAATAAAAAGTTTCATAAACTCAGCTTATTTAAAATATACAAGACATAAATTAATCCCGAACTAAAATAATTTAAATATTAATTTGCATAAAAATTTCAAGAACATCTTTTACTCACTTTTGTTTATTAGACATTAAATTATGTCACTTAGCGTACTCCATAACTTACCTTAATTTTTCAGTTTACCTGATGAATATTTCTGAGTGCTTAAATTTTAAAATTTTGCAAGACACTTTTGCTCTTGTCTATAAATACTTGTTACAAAATAAAATCCTTACATTTGTCTTGATAAAGTTCCTCAGAGGATAAAATGTGCAGACCAATATAAGTTTTTCTTTTGTCTTTATTTAAAATTAAATTAATTTTGGCTTCTTTAAATAATATTTCTTCACAAACTATAAATGCTAAATTTTTTTTAAAGTCATTTTTATTCCCCACCACTCCATAAAAATTTTACATATAGGGACTAGTTAAGGCGTAATTGAAAAATTGTGGAATTATGATGACTATAAGAATATTTTGAATTTCCTGTCCTTTGTAGCTTTTAATAAATTTCTCCTAAACCTTGTTCTGCCATCCATTTACTTATTAAATAGGTTATGCATTGTTTTCCTTTAGGTAAGTTAAAGATAGAGCAGATGATGACGATCCAATCCCCCTGCTCCAATTCATAGCTGCATGCCACAATGTAAATAATCATTTAATATTATTACATGTTAATGTACACTTACTGATGTAAGGTGGGGACAGACAGACAAAATTTTGCCTTACACATATATAAGATGACATGATGAAAGTTGGAAGTGGATGTGTAATATAAGTAACCAAAAGCAAAGAGGATTTTGATAGAAGGTAGTCACAGACTTGTTTATGTTGCCAAATTAAAAAAATTAGTCATTCAGTTTCCTCTGATTGATGAGTGACCTTACCTCATGATTATATGAAGGGAAAAAAAAAAAAAAAAAAAAAAAAAAAAACAGGAAATACTTAATGTGGGTAGAAGGGAAAAGATCTGAAGGACTAACAGAAAAGGATAATTATATGTGTGTCAGGGGGAGGGGGGGTGTCTTGAAAGCTAATGTACACAATCCCAACCATGAAGCACAGGTATGACATGTGGGGATGCTTTGCTGCAAGAGAAACTGGTGCATTTCATAAAATACATGGTATCAAGAGGAAGGAAAATAAACAGCTCACACTGAATAAAACATCATTCACACAAGAGAAGTTACATTAAAGTGCTTATGATATTTTACTATAATAATAATCTTACTTATTATAAAACACAGATTGTGTGTGTGTGTGTCTGTACGTTTATATATTGGATCGGATTTCCTACATTTTTCAACCGATTTCAACAAAACTTCACAGGACTACGTAAAATTACCTTGTGGTGGTTCTGACAGCACCAAAAATTGGAAAAAACAATTGTTTTTGCATGAAATCAATTTGAAAACATGATTAAGAGCCATCACAAGAATGAAAGGGGGACAACTCATATCGAGTTATACTTATTATAAAACCCAGGTTGTTTGTGTGTATGTGTGTTCATTTATATATGGGATTGGATTTCCTACATTTTTCAACCGATTTCAACAAAACTTCACTTTTTTGTTTTTTTTTTGTTTTTTTTTTTGGCAGGTAGTGTTTCTTATTGTCTTGCACACTTTTTTTCTTTATTTTTACATTCAGAATGCTTTAAAAATTCCATTTACAAGACAATTGTTTATAATAAAATTCTATTCAATCGATAGACTCATAACGATTGAAAACAATGTTTTTGTTTGAGTTTGACCAATTCGTAAAAAAATAACAAAAAAAAAAAACAAAACAAAAACAAAACAAAACAAAAAAAACCTAATTAAGACATGCGTGTCCGTCAACCTTAAACAATAATCTTTGTCAATTTTATTTTTCAGTCTTTATGATGGTCGATACTTGATCTATCTCTTACTGTTACATCCCTGGGCAACGCTGGGCTCTACTGTTAGTGATAAATAAAAAATTTAAATTATTAAATAAATTGCAATCTATTTATACGGTCTTATTTCCAAAAGCATAATGACTAGACCATGTCAAACATCCAGCTTCTCAAAGAAAACCAGGATGCAGACAAAGGATGTCTAACTACCACACAAACACCACATTGGTTCTTGACTGCAAAAGTACTTGAACAAAAAAATGAACTGCATACTGTTTATCCACAACCATGAGCATAATACTCAGCACCTTATCTACTTGTTTGGATGAATAATTACTGCCGACCTATATATATATATATATATATATATATATATATATATATATATATATATATATATATATATATATATATTTTGGGAAGAAATATAGTTTTAATTGCTATATTTATGGGATATAGTGCTCAATATCAGACATAGAGCATATGTAAATATGAATATAAAAGTGAACATTGAAGCCAACAAGTTGCTTCATGTCAGTCTGACGATTTCACCTCGCATGAAACAGCCTGTTGCCTCTGAGTATTGACTTCAATATTCACACACAAACACACATATATATATATATATATATATATATATATATACACACACACACAAACATTTGAATCATTTATTCATTTTTTTTTTTTTTGACACTTATGTCTTTTATGGGAGATGTTGTGGCTGGGGCAGTTTTAACTTTGTGGGGTGGAGAGAGAAAAGGAAAAAGGGATGGAAAAAGAAACGAAGGGGAGGGAAAGCAACGGAGGAGAGAGAAGAAGAGGAATGGGGAGATGAAATGAGGACACAGTTGGATGAGAACCCAGTGAAATGGAAAAAATATATAAAACAATTTTAAAAAATAAGTTTACCTTGACAAGTGTAGCAGATTATCTCATGTCCACAAAAAAAAAAAAAAAAAAAAAAAAAAAATTTAATTTACTAGAACAACTCCTACAAGAAAACAATTCACCTGAAGTATATGGTCAGAACACTGTTATTGTTTTGGTGTTAAAATTAGCACTGAAACAATGTGGGATAACTATTAAAAAAAACAAGTTGAAATCAATTAAAACTTATAACAATAGAACACATGAACTCTATCTCATATATATATATATATATATATATATATATATATATATATATATATATATATATATATATATATATATATCACTTTAAATGCTATTTTTAGTAGATACTCATATTTGAATAGATCCCAAGAGACAAGTTTAATTCCTGCTGAAGGGAGGAAAGTTGTTTTTTTTGTTTTGTTTTTTTTATAAGATTTTTCAAACATTCAGGTCACTAAACAAAAGTAAACTGTTTAATAAATAAATAAATAAATAAAGTGCCTACTTAAATACAAGTATCAACTAAAAATAATTTTTAAAGTGATAAAAATCTGTCGGATTAATAAAAAATACATTCTAAAAATTCTCTTTGTTTACATTCAGATATAAAACTATGTGAAGATATGAAAAAACAAAACAAAACTTCAAGAGATCTATGGCAAGAGAAGTTTTGCTTGAAAGCATGAAATTGGCTTCGCCTGACCATGTGACCTTTTGTGGTCAGGTGGGCTAAACAGTGGCTCCCTCTGAGGGAGGTAGGTTTGATTCCTGCTGAAAGGCACAAATTATTTTTTTCAAGATTTCTCAAACATTCAAGTAGGTGAAAATAAATAAATATACTGTTTAATAAATAAATGGAGCACCTAGGAATATCCACTAAAAATAACATTTAAAGTAATACAAAATTATATATATATATATATATATATATATATATATATATATATATATATATATATATATCCATTCTATTGCAGTATGAGGAGTTAGGTGGCCAGATATAAAGGGGGTCATGTTGAGCACATCGAGGTGGTGTAATGGTTAGCAAGCTTGTCTCGCTAGAACAATTACAACTGAGTAGTGAGTTCGATCCTCACTGGGTGCTCCGTACTTTCGGCCTTGTGCCACATCCAAGCTACGCTTGGAAAAAAAAAAAAAAAAAAAAAAAAAAAATCACTATAAAAGGGTCATGTGATCGCAGAAATTGTCTGACAGCCATGACTGGCTTCTCTTGCTTGTGACACATGGTGCAAACTCCTGTTGCCAGACATAGGGTCTTTCAGCAGCCACCCTCTTGACATGAGGAAAAAGGGCTTGGAAAATTTTACACTCTCAGGACAGATTAAAGACAAGACGGATAAAGGAAAACAATGAGTAACCTACCTAGTGAGCTTCAGTAAATGGACGTTGGAGCAAGGTTAAAGAAAGATAAAATTTATTGAGAGCTGCAAAGGACAGAAAATTGTGGAGAGCCATGATCATCAATGTCCTGAAGGGATATGGCACATAAAAGAAGATCAAAAAAGAGAAAGAAGAAAACTTTCCATCAAAGTATATCAAAAAAGAGAGAGAGAGATGAAAGAATGAAGCCTCTTTATATCAGTGTATATCTAGAAAGAAAAGAAACAAAGAAAGGAAGAAAAGGAACAAAGAAAGGAAGAAAAGGAACAAAGAAAGGAAGAAAAGGAACAAAGAAAGGAAGAAAAGGAACAAAGAAAGGAAGAAAAGGAACAAAGAAAGGAAGAAAAGGAACAAAGAAAGGAAGAAAAGGAACAAAGAAAGGAAGAAAAGGAACAAAGAAAGGAAGAAAAGGAACAAAGAAAGGAAGAAAAGGAACAAAGAAAGGAAGAAAAGGAACAAAGAAAGGAAGAAAGACCTTAACCTTCATGAAAGTATCTAGAGAGCAAACAATAAAGAAATAATGTTTCTTCACACAAGAGTCTATAGAGAGAAATGAAGAGTTTTTCTTTTTCACACAAATGCTTGTGTATGCACATGTTTATTAAGTGAGAGAGACAATTCTTTTGAAGATATATAGGTTATCAAATGAAAAATTTCTTTTAAATAAATGTCTATGCAAGAAAGACATTGTTTTTAATGAATATTTGTTTGTATTGTATGAGAATAAAAGGTAGATTGTGCTTTTGTATAGACCCATGCATCCTAAATATGCAGTTGGTCGTATGTATGCATGTATGTTCACCTGGGTAGTTGTCAAATGAGTATTTGCTGCTTGCTTCATTCATGTTTATTGTCATTAAAATCTATGAATAAAGATTTGCATTAAAAATGAAAAATGTTTTATTATTTAAAAAATAAAAAATAAACATAAAAACTTCCAGCAGAGTTTGTTCATTCAAGCTGTATGTGCAATTTCTCCAGTTTTCTAAGTCAATCCTCTCCTGGGAAGGAAAAAATGAAAACAAAGCAACATGGAGATAAACACCAAAGTTGCAAGATGACTTGACGTTGCCTGGCTTAAAGAGGTTTCAGATCATCAGATTTTCTTTGATAGGTTATCAGATGATATATTTTTGTATGAGTAGTAAACAATTGACCCTAAAGTTAAGTTTTTATTGCCCATTTCAAAGCAATCACCTTAGGCACACTATATATATATATATATATATATATATAAGCAAATATATGGATATAGATCCGACAGTATGAAGAAAAATATACAGAAAAAACAAACAAAAATCCTAATATGCAATTATGCTGTTTTAATGTTAATATAATGTCAACGTCGGATGTTTCAGTCTAATAGACCATCTTCAGGACATATTTAGTTTTAGATCAAAATAAAATTCTTTTCGTTTTTCATTCAAAATACTCAAATTTTAGGAATACGTTTTCACAACATCGCCCACTTGATGACGACATGATCATATTTAAATGGAACACTGATCTTATAAAAGATTTCAGTTATCTGTTCGGATTGGTCTTGCTCTTATGTCCATCGTCTTTTTCATGTTGAATTGAATATGGTCTATGTTATGTTTTATGAATATGTCCTGAAGATGGTCTATTAGATCGAAACGTCCGACGTTGACATTAAACATTAAAACAGCATAATCGCATATTAGGATTTTTGTTTGCTTTTTCAGTATATTTTTTTTTCATTATATATATATATATATATATATATATATATATATATATACCCAATGTTCAGGACAGAATATATATATATATATATATATATATATTTTCCATGGATAGAAACATTTATATATATATATATATTTAGAACCCAATGTTCAGGACAGTTTAAGAATTTTATATAATATAAATATTTTTTCAAATGCTCTATTTTATGATAAAACATTTTAAAATAAATAAAAAATGTCTTTAATAAAGAAATTTTTAGTTCATTTATTACATTGAATCATAATCATCATGGAAGATGTAGTTTATAACACAATCTTCGACCTTGTTGTCTATTGGTTCAAACCTGTAAGTGGTTAAAATATAAACTACATATGAATAAATGTCTATGAAACCAAACAAGTAGCGAAAATGGAATATAAAGTATTTCAACAACGTTTTTAAATTTCTTTAATAAATAAAATATATATATATATATATATATATATATATATATATATATATATATGGTGGATGTACAGTGACGTACTGGACATTTGCATCCCAAACATTTGTGTCCTTAGACAAATGTGTCCATGGATAATTGTGTACCTCTGATAAGTTTTTTGAAGTTACTATTTTTTTGTTTTTTTAAAGAGTTGTTTAATATAGAACTTGACACATCAATACTTTTGATTACTCTAAACAAGCAGAAAGGAAGTTACCATAAAAAAAAAAAAAAATTTAAAAAAGAGAGAAAAATGCTTTTTAAAGCAAGAGAAAATTAAGCTCGCAGTTTCAGTTCATTGCAGTAGTGTGTACCACAAACATCTAATAAATACTGGATTTTATAGATTATATTTCTATTTGGAACTCATGGCTAAGTTCTGAAAATCTGGTGGAAAAATATTCATGGTGAGGAAAATTACAGCTACCACTATCATAAGAAAAATGCCAATGAAACAAAAACATACTGGCAATCTTGTAACACTGTTAATCTCTCATTGCATTTTAATTTTTTATTTTATTTCCTTTTTTATAAATTTATGATTACTACCTAGGTTTTTTTTCAAAATTTATGATAATTGCCTTTAAATGCTTCAAAAAAAATTATCCTGGTATGCATTTGTCCAGGACGTAAATGTCTAGTACACAATTGTCCTAGAACCAGGCATATACATATTGATCTCACAAATACTACTATCCATACTAGATTCAGTTCAACTTCCCTGTTCAAATTCTCCAATATGTTGGATAGCATCTCATACATGTGTTGTGAGGAAGAAAGGACTAACTATCAATAGCAAGAAGACAGAATGTATGATTGTCAGCAAGAGGAACTGTTTGAGCTAGGAATTAAAAAAAAAATATCAAGTAAGTGCATTAGAAAATTGAAAGATGTCTTCCAAAAAGCTAAACAAAGTATTAAGAAATAAAAAAATTAGAAAAAAAAAAATAAAAAAATAAAAGAAGAAGAATGTTAAACTGCTATTGTTGCATAGCCCCTCATGCTGTAGGCCTCTTGATCACTGCACCAATTAATAGAATGTTGTATCTTCTCTCTCTTCTCCTAGCTAGTCGGTTTTGGTTTGGAGGTAAAAAGACATCAACAAAGGGAAGTTTAACCTAACTAGTTTATTAACATCAACATATACATCACTACCTATCCAGTGGGGTCACTCTCACCGCACAGGAGGAGCAGATCCCAGACACAAAGGAACACACCTACATTGCTTGATGATAAACTCAACACACTAAAAAACCCTTTTTCTATCATTCCCATGCTAGTTCAGCCAATCAAAACCAACTTCATTTATTTTGTCTTGTATCTGATCCCGAAGGTTAAATTGAGGAAGTCAGTGCAGAAATACACTCCCCTAAAAAATAATAATCTGCAAAACTTATTTAGCATGATGTAATATCAATCCTCCTATATGGCAGTGAATGCTGAACAATTTCCTCACAGATGAAGGCGAGACCTGAAGTAAGAGTGATGTGATTCTGCAGAAGGATACTGAGAATACCATGAATAGAAAATGCAAGCAACAGGGAAAGACAAAGAATAATACCATTTCTGAAGGTGTGTGTGTGTGTGTGTGTGTGTATATATATATATAAGTGAACATTGACATCAACACACATAGGCGACAGGTTGTTTCATGCTAGATGTAATCATTGGCCTGACAATTGAGTCTAGCATGAAACAGCCTGTCGCCTCTGAGTGTTGACTTCAATATGCACTTTTATATTTACATATGCTGTATCTCTGATGTTGAGCACTTTATCCTGTAAATATAGAACACCTTAAACTATATAGTCAGTGGAAAGTGGAACACATGAGCCCAAGAAAGTATCCAGTGTTGCTCTTCTGGAGTTTAGTATCAGCCATGCTGATGGCAGGCAGAAAAGATTCTCTTGTTGTATAGCCCCCTTGTGCTGGGGAAGTCTTGATCGATGGCTCCAAGTCAATAATAAGGTTGCATTCTTCTCTCATACTTGTCATCTCCCAGCTGATGATCTCTAGTTGTTTTGGTTCGGATATAAAAAGACTTCAACAGAGGAAATTTTAACTTAGCTATTTAATTAACATTGATGTATACATTTTCTAACTAGCCAGTGGGGGCCGCTCTCTCTCTCTCCACCTGGGAGACGTTTCCAGACACAAAAGTCAACACATTTACATTGCTTGACGGTTAAGAAACAACTCTCTGAAAAACCTTTCTCTATCATTCCCACACTAGCTCACCCAATCAAAATCAACTTCCTTATTATGTCTTGTAACCAGTCCCTAAGGTCAACCTCAGAAAGTCAGAGCAGATATACACTTCCCCCTAAAAATAATAGTCTGATAAAGTATTATTTAATACTCTGTGGTGATTAAATGAAAGCAATTTTATTTTAGAGGTATTAAAATTTACAAGTCATTTCTTGCCCAAGTTAACTACTCATTGGAGGTTCTTTTCTAGAACAGTTGCCATGTTTACTTTATCAAGTCTGTTGGACTTGTTACATCTACGATACATATATTTTGTTTAGATTCTGCTTGAATAGATTTTGCATTTGCAATACTAGTAGAACAACCTATCTATATAAAGGCAGTATTAATTTATAAATTTATATTTTGATGTATAATTCATAGAGATATTAATAAATGTATATATTTAATATGTATTCATTCATATTTCTCATTCTGAAAATAGACTTCTTTATTCATACTTTTTACAATTTTAGTCTCCTCCAACAATTCCATTATAAATTTTAAAACAGATTTTATACACTTTGAATATTCAATTATTTCATTCATTTTTTTTTCCTTTTTAATTCTAAGTAGTTTTTTTTCCTCATAATCCATTTTTCAATTGAAGTATTACAAAAAAAAAAAAAAAAAAGACTGAATGAAAAAAAAAAAAAAAATGAAAGAAAAAGATTAAGGCAGCAGATTAAATATTCAAAAAAAAAAAAAAAAACTCTGTAAAAGCTAGTATGTATTAAACATAGCTAAAAGCATTTTTAAAAAGAGCATTGGCAATAAAAAAAAAAAAATAATAATATATAGAAATAGGTGGTACCCTTCACCTTGGGTAAGAGAGACAACAGAAGGGATGGTGTTTGGAAGCAGCAGAGAGAATAAGAAATATAAGGGGTGGGAGGAAATGATTGAAAGGAAAGTGAGCCTGGTTGAAAGGGTGAGATTAGAAAAGGTGTGGGGAGGGAAAGGGGATAAAAATTTATGAAAAAATAAAGGTATAACAAGCAATGAAAGTTCAGTGGGGGGCACTTGGTAAAAAAAATAAAAATAAAAAAAAAAAAACAAGGAAAAAAAAAATGGCAAGTGATTATCTAGAGAGTCATTGAGGCACTGAAGTCAGGGGTAGCAGTGTTAAGTGAATGAAACAGACTGTCAGAATTTGAAATCTACCTGCTCAGTCCCACTTACACTAGCCACATATCCATATAGAGTGCAAAAAGACACTACATATAATGAACTAAAGGAGAGACAGGCAGAGTGAGTGAGTGTGTGTGAGAGAGAGAGAGAGAGAAAAATAAAGTGTGTAGATTTTAGAAGGAAGAGGAAATAAAATAAATAGCTAAGGAAAAAGAATTAAAAGGAAAAAAAAAGAAAAAAGAAGAGAAACATTAATAATCAGATATTTGAGAGTTTGTCTTTCATTAGCCAGTGAAGATCAAATTGAATTTCTAAGAAAGAAAAAGCAGTAATAATCTATTTTTCCCTATTAATTCAGGTCATTAATAATTAGATGTAAAACAATTCAGTTTTTATTTAGAATATTTTTTTTTTATCTCAAACCTTAGTTCTGTGTTTAGGGTTACAATTATTCTAAAAATGTTTAATTCAGGATACAGACTTACTGGTCAAATTCTAACTTAATAAAAAGAAAAAAAGATTAAATAAAGTGGTCTGAACAGAGTCATTAAAATCCACAACTTTGTGTAACTGAAAGCCACTTTCTGTTGTTGATAACTGACCCATTCCTCAACTTTCTACAAATGCGTAACTTTCTCAGTATGGTTGAAGAAGGCTGTAAAATGAATACAGAAAAGCTTGTGATAAATGGCTGAAAGGTTATTTCCATAATTACATTTGAAAAATTTGTTAATAAAGTAAAATTTTATTACTTTTATCAAAGATTAAATTTTGCTATCACAAAAATTACAAAAGATCAATATTTTTAAAGTCAGAAATTGGTTTCTGTCAGATCACCAGATGAAATAAAATTAAAAATAATAGCAACACGATATTTTGAAATTGTTAAAAACAAACATAAAAAACTAAAGATATTTTTATGCATACTCTAAAGATACGGTAATTAAGATGGAAACAAAGAACTTAATTGAAATTTACAATTATATATCTTCTTTAGCAAATATTAATTCACTTTATCTTACAAAAAGAACTAAATAAATCTTATACACACACACACACACACACACACACACACACACACATTATAATTTAAAATACAATATAAAATATAAAATAGCATATTGAAAAGGAGGCTTTAAACATTTGCGTTTAAAAAGGTGCAATCAAGTGCTCAATACAAAATCCCAAAAATTTGAGTTGTAGAGCAAAATGTAATCAGGAACACAAACATTCAAGCTACCACACTACCCAGGTTTCGACTGTTAGGTCTCCTCAGGCATGTAGGATGAAAGATTTTAGTTGACTCCACCACCATTATATATGGATACCAGAAGTAGATACACACACACTATGAGCCTGTAAGTGATTCTTAAGGCCAGCTTCACTTTTACAACCTCTCTTACACATGTGGCAAACAAAGTTTGTATGACTTATGTTGGTAACTTGCCTGTCCATGTGATATTTGAGTACCACAAGAGACTTACAAACCTTGTCACAAAACTCGCACAAGTAACCTGCAGGTCTTTCTAGTAGGGTTGCATTCACAGGAATTTACACCTGACCTCACTGGTGTGATCTCATGTAACTGGCAAAACCAGCTGTCGAAAGGGTGACTTTTCCACAAATACTGCAAGTCTGTTGGTTTGCCAATAACTCTGGGACAAATTCTCCCTAATGGCACACGTTTTGCTGGAATGCTTAATCCTTTTTCTGCTCAAATTTGTTGCAGCATTCCCAAATCAACCTTCGCCAGCCAAAGTCTCCCAGTTTTCAACATTAACACCAAGAGTCTTTAGGTTACATTTAACTATATCCTCGAAAAAATTTTTGGGCTCATGAGTACCTGTATATATATATATATATATATATATATATATATATATATATATATATATATATATATATATATATATAAACACACCAATTTAAAAAAAAACACAAAGGCACTTTTATCTTCAGGACTACTTTCGGCCAATACTTCATCAGAAGAAAAATATTGGCGTAGTTTACGATGAGAAAGAAAATGGAAAGGACAATTCACACAGTAATGAGAAAGAAAAAAAATAGGATTAGGAGGTAAAAAGGAACATAATTATGGAACAATTAAAATATATATGTAAAATTATTTATGAATAAATGATTGTCCACTTGCCAGTAATTTACAATCACCTGAGGAGACACATTGGTATGTGTTGAAGCATGACTGCAATTGTGTAGTGATTTTTACATGTTGCTTTAATATCTTAAAATAAATAATACTGCTTTACTATGTATTGAGCCCTCTTTTATATTAAGTGTACAAACATTAAAATTATATTCTATTTGTTCTCATCTTACCTGGAGATTACATATGTTTTTACACTTATAATATTAAAAAAAAGCAGTATTAGCTTCATTTTATTTTTATTAGATGAAACATTGTCAACTAGTAGTAATATTTTTTACTAGTATTTACTTTTATCTTAAGGTGTTTAAATTTCATCTTCAGTTGCAATCTTTCATGGTGCACTCATTGTCATAGATTGATGACCTGAGGAAAGTCTTGTTATAAAAATCAACTAAAATGTTAACATGAATGTAAATACAACTAGTCATAAATTTATGATATAATCAGTGAGGTGATACACATAAAATAACAAATTTATATTTAGCAAAAGAGTTTGAAAAAGACTAAATCTTAAATTTCAGGAGTCAGAAAATTTTAACTATCAATGAGTGTTGAAATTTTCACAGTATTTGATATTGTTGAAGTTATCACTAACATTTTTTTGTTGAGATTTACAAACTTGATATTTTGTTTAATTTTGCAAACCAATTGATGAAATTTGAATAAGCTGATTTGTTTGAAAAAATACTATAGTGATCCCTAAAGTAGTAGAATTTCATTGCTAATTTCTCGTTTTTATTTCAGGCCGACAAGTGTATCCCAGAATGGCACATGGCCTGACACTGAATGAATATGTGGCAGTCCATTGCCCAAGTGCAAAGATGGTGACAGTATTGATGGATGTTGGATTTAACGGCATGTCAACTATTAGTATTGATGGATCTCTTAATTCAATAGATGCCAAAACCAACAAAAATTGTGGTTTAATAATTTCTTTAATTTTATAGGACGTCATGGTAAACAATATTTTTTAAGAATGTTTTTTTTTCCTTTTTAATAGCAAAGAATAAATTCTTAGGATTAAAGATATGCAAAAAACAATATTGCATTTTTATTAAGTAAGTATTTGTTAATTTAATCATTAAATTGTTTTTAAAATAGTGGGAGTTTTTGTATGTTAAATAATAAAACTTAATCCCCCCCCAAAAAAAAATTATTAAAAATTTATTGTACTTAGCTACATACCCTAGTAAAATCAACTGTACTCTGTACCCCCTTACCTGTTTCCACTTCTCCCCAAAATTTGGTTTTGATTGGTCAATGTATGACTATTTAAAGGGCAAACAGACTAATAGAAGTCACAGAATTTTATATATATATATATATATATATATATATATATATAACACATATATAAAAAGAATCATTTGTAGGTCACACGACTTTTCTTATCAAATGAAAATCAACCTTTGTCAACCAATAAAATTTAATCTGCTTTACTTATTAAACTCTTGAATACCTATCCCTTGTTACACCCTACAACCTATTATTGCAAGATGACAATGGTAGGAGAGTGAGCAGAGCACAGGGTAGAGAATAAAGAAAAAAAGGACAACACCCAGTGGTTTATGCTTCACTCTTGCTAAGAATTCAATATGAATGTCTATTCATGTGTTCTTTATTACAGACTGTCGGTTTCACCAGGTGATCCTATTAGTACTGTTCTAAAACAGATAGTAATACAGGATGGGTGAAAAGAAACTACCGATTGAAAATTACTTATATTTTTTGTTAATATCACCAGATTTGCATGAAACAAAATATAGTGATCCCTAAAGTAGTAGAATTTCATTGCTAATTTCTCATTTTTATTTCAGACCAACAAGTGTATCCCAGAATGGGACATGGCCTGACACTGAATGAATATGTGGCAGTCCATTGCCCAAGTACAGAGATGGTGACAATATTGATGGATCTCTTAATTCAATAGATGCCAAAAAACAAAAATTGTAATTCAAAGCCAATGACGTCCTGAGTATGGTGATTAACTATATTCGCACCCTGGATAAGATGATAAACTATATCCAACAGCAAGGACTTTGATCAGGAGGTTTTGAGGATCGTGGAACCACCACTTAATTGCTTGTGTTCCCAGGTCTACCCTGACCCAAGGTGGTAGCACCTGTTAGGGTCCCAGCTATGGGCAAATAGTTAACCCCCCAAACTGGGGTCAAAACACTATGAAAGTGTATAAATAGGTCTTAATACCAGAAATACTTTATAAAAAAAAAATTGATTACCAGAAAAATTATCAGCAACACATTTTAGGAAAAAAAAAAAAAAAAAAAAAAAATTTACCAACAATACTTTTTTGAAAAAATATTATCAGAAATATATTTTTGTACATTAGTCAGACTATTGTCCTCATCTTTGTCGCCATATTTGTCACAACATTTCGGCCGTTGTACGCTCCGGCCTTCTTCAGGTGGTTGGAATTTCGAACTGAACCCTTTATTTCAATCATATTTTTGGTATATTGGGTCCGTACCGATCCTTCAGAGTCGGTCTATATTTCTGAGATGAGGAATAAAATAAATAAAGGATTCAGTTCAAAATTCCAACCACCTGAAGAAGGCCGGAGTGTACAACGGCCAAAACATTGTGACAAATATGGCGGCAAAGATGAGGACAATAGTCCGACTAATGTACATACTGTACATAATACCTCATCTCAGAAATATAGACAGACTCTAAATATAGTTTTTGGCAGGAAAAATTACTAGCAATACATGTTTGAAAAAAAAAAAAAAAAAAAAATATTACCAGCAATAAAAATGTTGTCAGCATTAAAGGTTGATATGCCGTAAACCAAACGAAACCAAAGTCAAGTATGGGATCTGTGGTAGATACGTACAAAAGCAGTCATTGGATAAACACTGGTACCAACATAGAATTTTAACACTGTACTGTGCTTCTGCCGTTATATTGTTCAAAACAAAACATGTTTTATGAAAATCGACCAACAATTAAATGATAAACATCCTATTTTTTGTGTAAAAACTGATAAAAACTCACTTTGCTGATACCCCCTGAAAAATGGATGGACATGTCTGGAGTCAGGATGCTGAAGGTAATATCAATCAGCTAAGTGACAAACATTTACTTATATTAATTCTATACGAGAGTATATATAGTAAATATTTGTATAATTCATTTCTAAATGAGAAAAATATTAGTAGCTGAATATGCTATGTATTTAGAGATTCTTGATAAAAGAAAGAAGAATATGCAATGTTATTGGTCCTGGCTTTGCATCTCAGCTTCACTTACTTTCCCACTGCCATAATGTAGCTTCCCTATGTCTTTTCTATAAATATTTTCATGGTAATTGCTCTGATGAACTTTCCACTTTAATGAGCTTTTTCAATGGAGTTCCATTTTTAAATTGTACATATAGGAACTGGTTAAGACTACATAGAGACATTGAAGTATTGTGGTGGCTGTAGTAAGAATCTGTTTTGGTGCAAGGAATACTGTGGTATGTTTGGGTCAGTAATTGTGGCCAGCTAAGTTTAAGATGAAACAGATTGAAGACTAGCCTTCCCCTATCTCTCTCACTTTTGGCTTTGTGCCACATTTTTCATTAAAACAAAATAAATATTGCTTTCCTCTTTGGTACATAGACTTTATGAATTTAAGTCCAGTAATAGATTGGCAGTAAAGTTTCATTTTACAGTTGAAATGACTAAATGAAACCAAGTTTTATTAACAGTTTCTTCTCACTTGTAGAACTCTTTGGCCTTCTTGCTTTCCAGTCAACTTTGATATTCAGAAATTTAAATGCAATTATCTTCTATCTTAATTTCTGTTCTCACCCCTTAATGTTTTTTTTTTTCATTCCTCGCACTCAGTAACCTCCTGTGTCTCAGTAGTTTTAATAAAGCAGGAAAAAAAAAAAAAAAAAAAAGTATATTTGTTCAGTCAGTTTTTTTGTTAATATACTTGAATTAACCATTAACAAACAACATTTATGTGTTATGCTTTCAACTTATTTTATAAGTTGAAAATAAAAACAAACACAAAATTTGCTCACAACATGAAAGGTAACAATAGATGAAAATTTTCTGATAAAGACATTAAAAACTTTTGTAGCTATGAATAATTGGGATGGGCTAAAATTCTTTATATTGAAAATACATAATTCTTAAAGTATTGTAACGGTTAGGATGAAAATTAAGAAAATGTGCATAAAATTTTCAAAAAGGTAACTTAATGAAAACATTTAAATAAAAGTAACTTGTGATTTTTATAAAAACGAGAATTTCTGAAATTCTCATGGTATTTAGTATTGTTGAAGTTATCACTAACATTTTTTGTCAAGATTTACAAACTATGTCTCATTCAATTTTGCAAACCAATCCATGAAATTTGAATAAACTGATTTGTTTAGAAAAATACTTTGACAAAAACTCTACTTTGCAGTTTTTACACCCCCAAGTAAAACCAACTGTACTTTGTACCCCTTACTTGTTTGCACTTCTCAAAATTAGATTTCAATCAATGTGTGGCTATTTTGAAGGGTGTGATGGACAGACAGACAGAAGTCACAGAATCTTATAGATTACAGTAAAATTTAATTTGATTATACATTTATTCAGTTTTAAAGCTTTAATATGTTAGCCATTTTATTTCCTAAATATTTTAATAGACTTTTATTATAATTTGAATCATTTCACTTCAATCAAAGCAATAATGATTGATTGATTCATTCATTCATTTTCTATGGCTTATTAACGCATTGCAGATTATTTTAAAGCCAGAAAATATTTTTTTTATTTTTTTTCAAGGCAAATATTAGGATTTCATTTTGCAACAAGTATTTATAAATATTATAACTTCCTATTGTAAGGCTATTGTTATAACACACTCATACTTGGTATAATGTAATTTGTTAAGTATTCTCTATACAGAATGCTTAGTCTATTGGCATAACATCTGTATTGTTAGTATGAAGATTGACTCCAATATGACTAGTATGACTGCATACCATGGAACTCTTTATAGCCTTGGATGAGTTCACAAAGTCACCAATTTTGAATTTGTAAATATGCTTTGGAGAGATCCAGCTTCGAAAATATTTTTCAGCTATTCAACTTTGAAAAAATTTCTTGCACACACACACATATATATATATATATATCATACTTATTATAAAACCCAGGTTGTGTGTGTGTGCATTTATATATTGGATCGGATTCTCTACATTTTTCAACCGATTTCAACAAAACTTCACAGGACTACGTAAAATTACCTTGCGGTGGTTCTGACAGCACCAAAAATTGGAAAAACAATTATTTTTGCACAAAATCAATTTGAAAACATGATTAAGAGGCATCACAAGAATGAAAGGGAGACAACTCAGAGTTATACTTATTATAAAACCCAGGTTGTTTGTGTGTATGTGTGTGTTCCTTTATATATGGGATCGGATTTCCTACATTTTTCAACTGATTTCAACAAAACTTCACTTTTTTTTTTTCGCAGGTAGTGTTTCTTATTGTCTTTCACACTTTTTTCTTTATTTTTACATTCAGAATGCTTTAAAAATTCCATTTACAAGACAATTGTTTATAATAAAATTCTATTCAATCGGTAGACTCATAACGATTGAAAACAATGCTTTTGTTTGACCAATTCGTAAAAAAAAAGAAAAAAACTAATTAAGACATGTGTGTCCGTCAACTTTAAACAATAATCTTTGTCAATTTTATTTTTCAGTCATTATGATGGTCGATACTTGATCTATCTCTTACTGTTAACATCCCCGGGCAACGCCAGGCTCTACTGCTAGTATATATATATATATATATATATATATATATATATATATTAGCTGGCTTTCCCTGACGATCCACTTAGGTGAAACCTGGGTAGGTTTATCTGGCTCACTAAGTTTATATATATTATACACATTTGTATGTGAGAATCTACATATGTTCACAAGCCTATAATACAATAAAAATGATTATTGGGAGGCAAATTTGTATTTTTGAATTATTTTAAAATAAAAAAAATTAAAAAAAAAATGAATAACTTTTTTTTTAGTTCAGATGAGATAGCAAACTGTCAGCTTAATTTTGACAATATTAAGCAAAGCTGATGCGAGTCAAACACCTCTGTCTATTTCTGCATAGAAACTGACATTAACCAAATGCTTGAGAAAATATCAAGCCAAACGATGAGGAGGAGGATAAGTGGAAAAAAAGAAAAAAAAAAAAAAATCAAAGTTCTATCTGCATAGAGAAATTGATCTTCTCTGGACAAAAGCAGAATGAGAAGATATCAAGAGGTTGCAGTTAAATGAGAAAATGAGATTGTGAAAACAATGGAGAGTGGAAGGAAGAAAGGAAAAAAGCTGATTTGTTAAAGGAAATTATAAAATTATTGAAACAAGATGGAGAGAGAGAGAGAAAGTGGAGGGGAGAGAGAGAAAGTGGAGGGGAGAGAGAGAGAGAGAAAGTGGAGGGGAGAGAGAGAGAGAGAAAGTGGAGGGGAGAGAGAGAGAGAGAAAGTGGAGGGGAGAGAGAGAGAGAGTGGAGGGGAGAGAGAAAGTGGGGGAGAGAGAGAGAGAAAGTGGAGGGGGAGAGAGAGAGAGAAAGTGGAGGGGGAGAGAGAGAGAAAGTGGAGGGGAGAGAGAGAGAAAGTGGAGGGGGGAGAGAGAGATAGTGGAGGGGAGAGAGAGATAGTGGGGGGAGAGAGAGAGAGGAGGTGGGGAGAGAGAGATAGTGGAGGGGAGAGAGACGATAGGGGAGGGGAGAGAGAGATAGTGGAGGGGAGGGGAGGGGAGAAAGTGGAGGGGAAGGGAGGGAAGAAAGTGGAGGGGAGAGAGAGAAAGTGGAAAGAAAGAAGAGGAAAAGAGGAGAGAACTGGAGCAAAGACAAAGAGAGGGAGAAGAGGAGGCGAGAGAGAGAGAAGAGGGAGAAAGCAGGAACAAGAGAGAGGAGACAGAGAAAAGAGAAAGAGAGAGAAAAGAGAAAGAGAGAGGCAATAGCTGAGAGGAATTAAGAAAGTGGGAGATTAGAGCATGCAAGCCAATAAGTATATAACACCTACTAAAGTGCAACTCTCAGCAAAATAAGTATTACGAGTTAGTACTCCAATTATCATGGCCTTGCACCATATGAAATTAAGTTCAACATGTATTTCTAATGATAATTCATGTCCAATAATGCATCTTTAAGACCCAATAGCCAAACTCATCCATGCATTCTTACAATGATGAAAATTATAAAGAATCCAATTACAATGAACTAAAGCCTACAAATCTTACATTTTTCAAATAAAATAAAAAGAGTGAGGAAGAAAGAGTCAACTAAAACTGATAATGGTGCTGTTTCTTCACACAAGTGTTGCCAATTTCATAGACATATTTAAGATCGTTTTGTTTTTTCTTTAAATTTGTTAAATTGATTTACATGTAATCTTGCATAGTCAGCTCTCTCAAAAATATCAAAAGAAAGAAGCATAATTCTTTTTACTTAGATTTACATTGACTTTCCACAGGATAAAAGAACAGAAAGGCAGTGTACTTGTGGAAGGGTGGGGGGGAAATAAGCAAGAAACAATCAAATTACAACCCATTCATTTATTGTAATGCATTTCTCTACTTAAAGTGGGGGAGAAAAAATTATCTTAATCAACATCAATGTTTATTTTCCAGCAATGGAAAAACATTTTTCTTATGTTATTTACTATTTATAATATTTTATGTTATATTTTGTCTCAAGATCCAAGGATATGTTACTATTATACATCTGCTTTTAGGACCAGTTTCCTTCTACTTTTTTTTTTTATTTATCACACAGATAAATGTCATACGCATTATTATGAGATTCTTTTGGATCAGGTAAATAAGATTCTTTTTTTTTTTTTAAATAAACAAAAAGCTATATCTTGTGCCTGACAAGTTGGGCAATCAATGAAACTTGTGTCGCAAACCAAACATAGGTGTGTGTATATATATATATATATATATATATAATTCCAAGTAGGACATTAATCCAAATAGAGCTCTATGTAAGTAAGAGAGCAATATAATAATAAGTAAAGACAATTCTTAAAAATCCATTTCAGTTATAATTTATTTCATGAATTTACAGTTTCAACTTTTAAGTATTAGAGATTTTATACTCTTCAAGTAAGAATTTTTAAAATTGATCCAAGCATTTTAAATGTTCACATGCCTTTGGTATATACTATTACATCTGTGCATTATGAGTCATGTCCTTTCAGAATATGGACACTCCTGGCTCTCCAAGACTTCCTACCACTTGAGGTCCTTAGCAGTTTTTCTCCTTTTAGATGAATCCCACACAAGTTCTGCTTTCTATTCACACAAGCTTGTCTGGTAGGTAGCTCAAAGCCTTCACCTATATCTCTTGCCCTCAATATGCCCTGTGAGAGTTAAGTTTTTCAAGCCCACCTTTCTCATTATGTATGCAAGGAATTTCAGCTGTCTCTGAGCATGTGTTCTTTCTGTTCCCATTTTCTTTGACTTTCTCAATGCTTACTGACTTTATCTATGGAATTATCAGTAATTCCACATTTTAAGTGATACTGAATTACCAAGATGAAACATTTGACCAATTAGATTGGCTTCTAACACTTTGGGTCTCTTTATTCATTCAAATCATTTAATTATAATTTTTTTTTCTTTCCTTCTTCAACCTGTGCACTTGGTATAAATAAAAAGGATAATATATCAAGTAGTCAGTCCAAGTAACAGTCAGTGATAGTCTATGTGATACTCTAAGTAGCAACTGGATGTAATAGTCCAAGTCAGTCATTAAGAAATCTTCCTGTGTCTAGTCTATTTGCTGTCATATGAACACTTTTTATAAGAAAATGGTTTTAAAAAATAAATAAATAAATAAATAAAAATATTAATATGGAAAAATTTAGATGTGCAGGTGGTATAATAGATTGGAGTTGTTAATATTTTTAGATTATAAGCGGGGGTGGAGAAGATAAGGATTTAGTGATAGTTTTACTAATTAACCCATAACTGGGGGAGGAGAGGAAAAAATGGATTCATACCTTCACCAATGGTATTTGTACATAAGTGAATACGACAAACCCAACTGAAATTGGGACTCAGCTCTCTGATTAACAATATCCATTATACCACCCATATATCCAACAATGTAGTTCTACAGAAGGATGTTGAGAATACCAATGACAAAGTTTTAGAGAAAATGGAAACAAAAAGGACACTTACACAGAACACAGAAAGAGATAGTTGAAATTTCAAGGACACATAATGAGGAAACAGGGCTTGGAAAATTTGATACTCACAAGACATTGAAAATAAGAGGGGCAGAGGAAAGTAGTGAATAACCTACCTAACATTCTTGTATAAATGGTTGGCAGAACAGGGATTAGGGAAGATAATGAAAAAACAAATTTTACAGGAAGTTGTGGACAGTCATGATCGCTCTTGTCCAGAAGAAACACAGCACATAGAAGAAAAAGACAGTCATAATACCAGTACATTGAACATTGTAGTATTTGTTTATATAATTTAATTTATTGGATGCTAGGAAAGTTGGTTCACTGTTGTGTTAGATTCTGGTGAGAAACATTGTCTATCTTATACATTTACAAGTTTACCATTCATTTATGCATTGAATATTGTTGTCACATTTAGTCTGTTGCTTCTGTTATATATTCAGAGATTCTTTATAAAAAAAACAGAAAAATCTGCAATGTTATTGGTCCTGACCTGACATCTTGAATTCACCATCCTAACAGATTCCCGATACCTTTTCCCTCTATTATATATATCATAAATTAATTGATTTAAAATATGTTTTATTTTTCGCTACACAGTTCTAACCATGTTTCAAAAATGGAAGCTAAAAGCCCAAAATTTAATTTTGTGATTAAAGACATTAGTTCCATTTCATCCTCAAGCGAAATTTGGAGTAACTTAAAATTACTGGGTTTTAAATACACAGCTAAAACAAAATTCATGTTTAAAAGGTTACAGATAAATCTATTTTTTTTAGACAGGGGTGTCTGGGTGTTCAATATGTCTAGTCCATTATATATATATATATATATATATATATATAAATAATGGACTCTCCTATCGGTTTCAACGTATGAGGATCTGACAACTTAATTGATTCAGTTATGAAATTTTGTGTGGAACTTAAGACCCGCTAGTGATTTACAAAAGGAGGCCGCATATGGAGCAAGATTAAGGATTGTGGAGTGAGATCACTGTTAGATTGGCTGACCTTTTAGATTCTGCTCTTACTTCTTGAAGACGATTTAGACAAGCTGATTGAAAACTGCTGAGTCTACTAAAACATGTTGATCTCCATTCTACCTGCTCCAAGGCTAAGCACTCGAGGGTGTTATGAGGTATATTAGCTGACAAGTTGTTCTTCAGTTTGTTTCTGTATCTTAGCCATGAGCGCCCTCTATTCCCATAGCCCTGGTCTAACTGGCTGTATCATTAGGATCTTGGGTATCCTGTCATCAGACATTCTCAAGACATGACCAGTCCACCATAACCGAGACTGTATGAGAAAAGTCAATATTATACCTGTTAAACAGGTCTACATTAGATGTCCTATCTTGAAGGTTAACTCCACAGATGGCAGACATGGAAATTTTTCTAATACGTTTTCCTCTTTGGTACCTCAACCTCATCAATTTAAGAATAGTACTAAATTGGCAATTAGGTCTCTCATAATTTTACTGTTGGAATAGCTAGATGTAACCATAAGTTCTCTTCTAATAGTATTTTCTCTCTCACTTCTTACCTGTAGAAATCTCTTCTGGTTTCTTGCTTTACTGTTGAGTGTAATCTTCAAAAATTTAAATGCAACACAAAATCACCATCTTCTGTCTTTCAGAACATTGTTCTTTTATTGTCCTCTCTACTCACTAAAGTTTTTTTTTTTTTCATGCATCTTAGTGGTACTATCACCTTGTTTGGAATGAATTGATTTAAAAAAAAAGTCAATGTTTTTAGGGTGGACAGCTTTTAAAATTGTTTATTGTTAAAAGTTCACTTTTGTCTTCAATGAGGATTTTCTTCAATCTGATTAACCAATTATACTTTTAATCCCCTTATATGACTTTAATGATTTTATCATTTTAACTTTCAAGGGCTAAAAGCAGAATGAAAAAAAAGCAGGTTCAATGTGGTCAAAATCTATTTGAAACGTATTTAAATAAGCACAAGTAATGATATTAGTTTGAAAAGATCAGCAATGTTTAACCTTTGTGCCAGCAAAAAAAAATGATGTGTCAAAAGGACATTCAGAGTGAGTCGTTCAACTCTGAACCGACTGTTCAGTTGTACTCTCTTCCCACGGACGGAGGAACCCGAAGGAGGCTACGCCGAAGGGTGGAGTCTCCTTCGGGGAGGTAAAACCGGCCCTGAACCCGTTTATACGGGTTCAATGGGCATATTTTTTGGCTCGGAATGCCCACGTTAAAAAGGCCTTGTGCCACATGACACCTTCGTGTGTGTGTGTGGGGGGGGTGACTGAATATCGTCAAAAGGACATTTATTTCCTTGGCACCACTATTACTGTATACACTGGACGCCCTCAGCAATGGTTGTTTTTAAAAAGTGATTAAAATTTGAGAATGACAACAAAAATGTTAAACACTGTATATACTCTAATGTGAAATTTAGTAAGGTTTTTTTTTTTTTTACACAAAAAAAAAAAAAAAGATGATTGCACTATACACAGGTAATTTTTTTTGAAGGAGTTAAAAATCATGCATTTTTGTGGTGACCAATTACACTATACACAAGTAAATTTTTTCTGAAGGGTTAAAATTCAAACAAAATTTTCAGGAGTCACACTACACATGAAGTTGGCTTATACATGAGTAAATACAGTAATAAATATTGCATTTCAGTTATATGATCACTGAAGTTAAGCAACATCAAGGCTGGTCAGTACTTAGATGGGTGACCACTTGGGAATACAAGTTCTGTAAGCTTGAATATGCATGCAGTGGATA